AAGGACGCATGCCTATAAATGTGTATAAACTGGATTTATGGCTTAAGTCATTGGAGGTGGGGCAGGATGCGACAGAGAATTAGAAGGGAAAGATGGGAGAAAACAGAGGATAATGTGATGACTTATTTACGAATAAGGAACCAGGGTGACAAGTAAGTTTTACTCTGAAAATAAAATGCATGTAAATAATTAAAAAGAATAATTGATCTGACATCTCTATCTTTCTGTTTATTTATCATCTATACTCTGTCTATATGGTATTAGCTAACTTCACAGAGCTTACTGTGAAAAGCACACATGTAATAAGAGAGTTTAAATAAAAATAAAGAGGCTGATACATCAAGTAGGAAAGAGGGGGAAAGTAACGACACTAACAGGCTGGAAAGAACACTTGTGGAAAGTATTCCACATTTAATTTAGCTTAAGTTTCTGGCAACCAAGGCAAAAACCAATGACTTTTCTAAGACTTATGAGTTACTATTGTTGACCTGTTCTATTACATCAAACGGGGGTGAATACACACTAACATTAACTTCTAAGATAGACTTCTCTTTCATTCCATTATTCCATTGTAGAGTGATTAAGTAGGAAAATGGACAACGTCTTCTACGTACACTGTACAATGAATCTCAATCCCATGGCACAACACACACAAAAATTAATTCAACACTGGTCATAGACCTAAATGTAAATAAATTTTAAAGCTTCTAGAAAAAATATAGGAGACTGTCTTTGCAGCATTGGAGCAGGTGAATATTTCTTGGGACACAAAAAATACTAAATAACAAAATAAAACAATACATTGCATTGCATTAAAATAAAAAACTTCTTTATGTAAATATTTAAAACAAGATTTTGCAGAAGATACAGAAATGTTCTTCATGTGCGATTTGTTATACCAATATTTTATGTACAAGCATCAGCCTTTAGGTGGCACCCGTAGCTCAGTGGGTAGGGTACCCATCCCATACACCAAGGCTGTGGGTTCAAACCCAGCCCAGGCCAGCTAAAGCAACAATGACAACCACAACAACAACAATAAAAAATAGCCAGGCATTGTGGTGGGCATCTATAGTCCCAGCTACTTGGAAGACTGAGGCAAGAAAATCACTTGAGCCCAAGAGTCTGAGGTTGTTGTGAGCTGTGACACCATGGTACTCTATCCAGAGCGACAGCTTAAGACTCTGTCTCAAAAAAAACCCCAAAAAAACAAAAAACAAAAAACAAAACCAGCATCAGCCTTTAATAAAAATGCACTGGAGGCCATGATGTGTTGTACTCATTAGACTTCTGAATAAGACTTTTTTTTTATTGTTTAGGATTTATTGAGGGTACAAAGAATTAGGGTATACTGATTGCATTTGTTAGGTAAAGTCCATCTTACAGTTTTGTCCCGCCCCCAAGAAATATGCCATACACCATGAACCCCCTTCCCCCCCCTTTACCTTTTACCCACCTCCCTCATTCCCTACTCCACCTTGTATTAGGTCATCTACTGCCTTCATATTAGAATTGAGTACATTGGATTCTTGCTTCTCCATTCCTGTAATACTTTACTAAGAAGAATGTGTTTCACCTCCATCCAGGTTGATACAAAAGATGTAAAGTCTCCATCTTTTTAATGGTTGAATAGTATTCCATGGTATATGTATACCATAATTTGTTAATTCATTCCTGAGTTGGTGGGCATTTAAGTTGTTTCCACAATTTGGTGATTGTAAATTGAGCTGTGATAAATAGTCTAGTATAAATATCCATTTGGTAAAATGACTTTTTTTATTCTGGGTAGATGCCCAGTAATGGGATTGCAGGATCAAATGGGAGGTCTAGTTTGAGTTCTTTGAGAATTTTCAATACTTCCTTCCAAAAAGGTTATATTAGTTTGCAGTCCGACCAGCAATGTAAAAGTGTTCTCTTCTCTCCACATCCACGCCATCTGCAGCTTTGAGACCATGATTTGAGGTTGTCCTCTATTGCCACTACTATTCAACATAGTGCTGGAAGTTTTAGCCAATACAATCAGGCAAGAGAAGGAAATAAAGGGCATCAAAATGGAGCTAGAGGAGGTCAAACTCTCACTCTTTACCAATGATATAATCTTATGCTTAGAGAACCCCAAAAATTCAACCACAAGACTCCTAGAAGTGATAAAAAAGATACAGTAATTTCTCTGAATAAGACATTTTAAAAAGACACTGCTAAAATAAAAAAAGTAAACAACAACTATCCAGCACTTTTACAATTCTGTGTCTCATCTTAGAATTCTGCATTCAGTAGCCCTAAGTTATAGCACATACTATCATTTCTCAAGGTTCTTTCAATTGTAAAGAAAAGAAAGAAAGAAAAGAAGAAAGAAAGAGAGAAAGAATGGGAAGGGGGGAGGAAAGAAGGAAGGAAAGAAGGAAAGTAGGCAGGAGGGAAGGGAGGGAAAGAGGAGAGAGGGAAAGAGAGGAGGGAGGGAAGGATGGAGGGAGGGAAGGATGGAGGGAAGGGAGGGAAAGAGAGGAGAGAGGGAAAGAGAGGAGGGAGGGAAGGATGGAGGGAGGGAAGGATGGAAGGAAGGGAGGGAAAGAGAGGAGAGAGGGAAAGAGAGGAGGGAGGGAAGGATGGAGGGAGGGAGGGAAGGAAGGAAGGAAACTTCAACTGAAACTTGTTTGTTTTTTTTTTTTTGAGAAAGAGTCTCACTATGACACCCTTGGTAGGGTCCTGTGGCATCACAGCTCACAGCAACCTCAAACTCTTGGGTTTAAGTGATTCTCTTGCCTCAGCCTCCCAAGTAGCTGGGAATACAGGCACCTGCCACAATGCCCAGCTATTTTTTGATTGTAGTTGTTATTGTTGTTTGGCGGGCCCGGGCTGGATTTGAACCAGCTCCAGTGTGTGTGGCTGCTGCCTAGCCGCTGAGCTATATGCACCAAGCCCAACTGAAAGTTTTTTAAGCAAATGAGAGAGTCTATTGGCTCACAAACTGAACTGTCCATCAACATACTGGTTTCAAGCTCCCTGTGATTCAGAAATTCCCAGCATCCCCCAGGCTCTGGCCCCTTGGCTCTCTTGTTCTATCCTCTTTATTCTGTTATCTTTTCCTTCATTTAGAACCTGTCACAGCAGCAAATACTTTTATAACAGTCCCAGGGTTCCTCACACTTCCAAAGCCAGAGGAATAAATCAAAGTTGTTCTCTAAATTCCGAAGTAAAGTTTAAACAATTGGCTTTGGTTGAGCAACTGCTATGTGCTGGGCACTGAAAATGCAGTGGTGCTCTTACGGTCTAGCAGAGGGACAAACAATAACCAAACACAAATATTCTATATTAGGGAGGGATGGGGACATTACAGACGTGAATGAGAACATGACACCTGGTGATACGTAACAAGTGGTAAGTGGCATTTTAGAGAGTTCATTCACAAAAGCCTTCTCTGAGAAGGCAGTGTTTGAGCAGACACCTGGAGGAGGTGAGAGTGGGCCATGTGAGGTTATGGGGCGTGAGAGGGAACAGCAAAGATAAATGATGAGAAGAGGAAACACTCCACACTGTGGCTTTGAACTTGCGATGCTTGTCAGACATGCACATGGAACTGTCAGATAGGCAGGTGGGTGCAAATGAGTGGAGTTTTGAGAAGAGGTCAGCACATACAAATTCAAAGTTGTGAGGATAGGTGCAGAGGGTAGAGGCTTGGGACAGGCTGCAGGCGTGTTTCAGAGACACAGAGGTTTTGTAGGAGTGGGAAAGATCTGGAAGCAGCAATGAGGAACAAGGAAGGCCCGAAGGCCCTGTCTTTTCTCTATGCCGTGTGGTGTACAGCATGTGGGGAAGAAACGGCCCCCTCTTCCAAGGACTGCCTGGGAGAACGTGTGCTTAGGGACTCAGCCAAGATGGTCATCAGCAAAATCTTCTATATATTTTTCTGAGCAGTTCTTGGATCTTCTTGCGCTAAGAAAAATTTAACTGTCCAGAACAGTGAGGCATGGTTCAGTTAGAACAAGATAATTAAGGGCATGTTCAAAGAAGTTGAGGGGATACAGGATTCTGCTGGTGACAGGCTATAAGTTGCAAGGGGCCCAGTGGAAATGCTGGAGGGATGGGGAGAGGGTGCTTGGGTCAAGTTCAGGAATGTACAATACAGAATGAGGTTAAAAAGATTGTGTAATGGGGATGATCTAGGAGACTTGGATGTTGGATGGGCTCTAAGTATGTGAGATTAGTTCTGGTGGGCTTTTAACAGCAAAGGAGGAATTCGATCTAAATGTTGCTTCCCACTGGGGCTGGTCACTTCTTTAGTAGTTTCTGGATATGGGCAAGGGGTGTGGCCTCAGAGATGGTGGTCTTCCTAGGAACATAGTTCTGTGAGCCTTCCTTAAAACCTCCTGATTAATAAGGGAGAAGCAGCTGTCTCACCAGGAACCTGGGCCAACTTCTATCCCATCCTTGTGGACAGAAATATGAGATTACAGAGATTTATGGATACCTTAAATTCAGGGAGGGTTTATAGGTGTGGGCAGGTGTGTGTGTGTGCAGGTGTGTGTGTCTGAGCACGTGGGCTATGGAGAGGAAGTTACCAAGAGTTATCTAGAGAGAAGACAGGATGGTTGGTGAATAGCTAAACCCAGCTCACATTCATTAGAGTCTCTCTCTTTTTATTTTGTATTAATATAAGGGTACTCCTCAGCAACCAGCAAAGATAATACTGTTGGCAGAGTAAATTTGGAAACAGTGTAAGTAGATCCATATAAACATACCTCGGTTCTGAAAAAGTAACAGGAGACATTATCTTTATTGACTGACAAAAAAAATCACACAATTTGAGTCAAAGTATTGTCTCCTAATTGATCCACAGTTAAATTGTGCTATTGTGTGTGTAATAATTTAACCATCACAAAGTCCAGAACTCTTAATGGAGTATTATTTCAATTGGCCTCCAATAATATTTCCCAGAAATACCTTGTGCCAATATTTAAGCTACATCTTTCTTTTTTTCACAGGAAGAACTGAAAAGATTGAAGAATCCTCTAGAACAAGTTAATGATGGTGGAAAATATTTATTTGAAAAGTAAGTAAAAATTAAGTAAGTTAAAATAAATTAAATAAATCATCTGTGAGTTTGAAAAGCTTGCATGAAAAAGACTGTCAAAAATGAATTTAAAAATTTGGCAGTTTCTTATGATATCATTGTGGTCAGAGCTGGACATGTGGCTTGTCTGAGATATAGGTAGATAAATCTATGGCTAGTAGAGTGATAATTCACAAGCTTTACTGATTTAACAGAGTAATAGGATGCCTAGAAGGTGTTTCTGCTGATGCGTCTGGGGGCTTGAAACCTAACCCTACCTGTCTTAGACTTTTAATGAAGGTTGTTTACAGAAGGCAGGCATAAAACTCCCAGAAAAGGCTCCCACTAAGACTAAGAGAATGAACAGTTCAAATAACACCGCAGAATGGAATCAAACAGATCTTTAAAAGAAAAGCAAAAAAGAAGAGATGAAATTGAAAAATCTCACACTTAGACTTTTAAAAAATTATACAATTGGAGCATGTGAGAGACATATCCTGATTTCAATTGGTGGGTAAATGCTTAGTTTTATTTGACATTAATATAGCCCACAATTTTTAACTATTGCTTCTAAAATATTAGCATAATATTAAACTGATTAAGAGACATTCATTAGCTGGAGAATATTCTTCTTAGCAAAGTATCTCAAGAATGGAAGAAAAAGTATCCAATGTATTCAACTCTATTATGAAACTAATTTATAGCTTTCATAGGAAAGCTATAACCCAATTTTCTTTTCCCCCAAGAATATGGGGAAAGGGGAGAGGGAGGGGAGAGGAGGGGGGAGAATGGGTGGAGGGAGGGTGATTGGTGGGATCACGTCTATGGTTTATCCTATGGGGGTACATGTGAGTCTTTCTAAATGTAGAATATAAATGTCTTAACACAATAACTAAGAAAATGACATGAAGGCTATGTTAACCAGTTGAAAGTTAACCAGGATGAAAGTATTTTAAACTGTATATAGAAACAACACTCTATATCACATGATAGTATTAATGTGCACAGCTATGATTTAATAATAATAATAATAAAAAAGAGGCATCCATTGCCAAGTTAAGGAAATAAAAAATAACAATCATTCATTGAACATTTGCTATGTATCTTGTGCTATTGAATGGGACCCCCCTGAAATGAGGGTCTTATCACCTGCCATCAGACAAGGTAGGTCAGAAAATTTCTTATGGTCAGCACTTACAAAGAAACACAGGAGAGAATTAGAATAATATTTCCAGGTTTTATGGCTCACTTAGGGGAAGAAGGATTCTAGTTCCTATGACCCACCTTATAGAAAAAGAATTCTGGTTTTTATGACTCACTTCAGGCAAGAATGAGGGGCAAGGACAGGAGAGTAGGAGGTCAGAGAGAGAGACTCTGCTTCTGAGAATTTTATCTCCTCTAGTTCAAAGCACTCAGCAAGCCAAGATTCCACCTTTTGGGGTACCGTGTTCTGAGATCCAACAGCTGATAGATACCAGAAGTACCCAAGAATGGTAAAAGTGACTGTACGTGTGAGATGTTTAAAAAAAAAATCCTGAAAGTGGAAAACTTTGGTTTTGATTCCTTTTTCTGATTTTTCTTAGCTTTGTCAGTCAAGACAGATCATTTACCCTAAGTCCGGTTTACTCATCTCTAAAAATGAAGATGTTAATATGAGCCACTGAAAGTCTTAAACAAGACAGCTCATTCCAGCAATGCCAGCTTCCTTGCCTCCCATGTGGGCAGGGGTTTAGACTGATAATCTCAAATGTTCATTCTATCTCCCAAACCCTGAGAATCTATCATGTCACCGCACTGAAAGGCAGGTCCGGCTTTTGGTCAAATAAAGTTTCCGCGTGACCTATGGACTCCATTTATCCTTCCTGTGTCTGTTTTCATTAATAGGAATACATACGAATAAAATAGTTCAATTTCCCTCCATCCATCACCACCATCACCACTAGCTGTATATAAACAATAACAGAAAGTTTCTAGGTGACATGAGAAAGATTTTTCTGCTATGGAGATTAGTGTTGGGATGTTATTTGGTCCGGATCAGTGGTTCTTCACCCTGGCTGCGCTTGGAATCACCCAGGGAGCTTAATAAAAATGTCCCGACTAAGTCCTACTCCAGACAAATTGAATCTGACTCTTGGAGGATGAGGCCCTGGAATCGGTATTTCTTAACGATGTCCTTCACGCAGTTCTAATGAGGACCTGGGTTTGAGCACCA